GCCGCAACAAAGGCCATACTCTCTCCGGATTCCCACTCGCAATAGCAGCAATCGATGCCTTGACAGTCAAGTCCGTAACGAAAGTCCGTATATGCGCATACGTCGTATCCAATTTGGCCTTTGCACGAAACAAAAACGGCGTAACCAACGATGATAACTCTGGTAATTTCTCAACCACATCCCATACACTCGTCCTATCATCTCCCAACCAATCTTTATCCGCTTCAGACAGACTTGCCATTTTCGTCGTGTACACTTGCAGTGCCATATCCCACTCTTCCCTCTGCAGCAGATGCGCAAGCAGGATATTCGTGCCCGTATATCCTTTACCACCTTCTTGTATGGCAGATTCATGGGTAGAAACTGCAGCGGGTAGGGCATTTCGATGGAGTAGAGAAAGGATGGCTGAGTAATATGTTGTGGCATTACTTTGTTGACCACGTTGCGGTGTCAGAGCTGGAGATTGGAGAAGGAAAATTGAACGGACGGACTCGGTCTGGCGGGTCGAGAAGGAAATGTAGTTTAGTAAGGAGACGATGAGGCGTTGTGTCCGATTTTCTGGTTTCAACTGAAGGTATAATTGCCATGGTGTTTCGTATGCTTGGCTTTCAGAGTGTGCTGGCAAAGGCCCCGCCAGAGTTCCTTGTAACATAGCGAGTGGTTCTGGGACTTTATACGATGGCAATGGCTGCTCCGTCATTAAGGACGAGAATTGATGGTCATCCACCCTTGCCTCGTTCGGGAAGCCGAGAATATGACTGGCCATATCATTCCTCCTCGAATCCAACGACGAGAATTTCCTTGCTCTTGCTTTGCCATTGCTAACGCGATTAATCGTACTATCAACATCCTTCCTCGGCACTCTTGCGCCACCAGATATCTTCCTCATCAACGCCAACGTTCGGGGAGGATATAGAAATTCCAACATGCCGACATTGACATCTCTCTTTTGCACCGCCGCGGCGATGGGTTCAATGATAGTCCACCATGATGGCAATTGCAGATCACCGGCTCCATGATGCCAAAATGCCGAGTGGAGTTTACGATTCGAATGCAGTTTTCGCGGGCAATTGCGAGAGAGGCTTCTGGTAGTGGTGTTTATGCATGACGAAGCTGCGCGCTCTAGCATCACACGTAGTATACAGATGCGATTGAAGGCTATGATAACGTTTGCATGATTGTCGTGTGATAATATCGAAGGAAAAGTTATGGAAATCATGATCAGACGAGAGAGACGATCATCAATTTTCTCAAGCAGGACTAGCGTATTGCGGCCCTTCTCACGCTTATTTTCGCACTCCCACAACTACACCCCACTATCATCGTTGAGTACACCCCCTCTATTTCTCAAGCTTGCCCTCTATAATAGCTCTAGATAGAAGAGGAATAAGGAATGACAATGGATATCACATCCTTCATAATCACACGCCGAGACGCCGCCCTCCTCATCGGCGACTATAAATCCTACCACGGACAACTGTCGCGACAACTAGCGTCAGTGAAAAAGAAGCTCGGCTTAGCGATCAAGAAGAATGCCAAATTTTCAAAGCAGAAAGAAATTACTGCGGAGGATGTGGGCAAGGATGTTGGGTAAGTAATCACGATTTCACACTTGCGTATTGGAGATGTTGTGGAGATTATAGCTAATACCTGCGGCGGGATAGATACGTACACCTCCAATTATTAACAGTGGAGAGAGCATTTGCCCACGCCATGGCGATGAAAGCTTCCGTTGGTGAAGACGCACCCATCCCCGGCTCCACACGCTGGCAGATTGTATCGCGATTGAATAAAGCTGCAAAAACAGCATCATACCTATGCGACCTACTCTCTTCGTCAAAATCCCTCACTGGCGCGACAGACACCGATATCCTTGAAGCGAAAGCCTATGCTTCTTCATTGGCAGGAGCGGAGCAATTCGAAAAACATGCACACACCTCTAGAAGTTCTAATAAAGAATTTCAGAGGGAGATGTGGAGTTCTTGTCTTGAGGAATATAGTGTTGCTAGGGTTATCTACGCGAGTTTATTGAAGAGTACGAAGAAAGAGGTTTTCAAGGATTTACTTTCTACGACTGTTGATCCCGCAGTACGTTTCGCGGCATACCAATCACATATTCCACGGACGCTTGCAGTCGTTGATGTATCAAGGAAATTATTTCCACGAGGTGAGACGACGCTCGTGAAAGCGATCGAGGCTATCGACCCCGCAGCATTTGAGGATGAAGCGTCAGTAGAGGGGGAGAAGGCAGGTACGGCGAATAATATTCCCACAACCATTACATGGAGGGGCAGGAAAGCCAGAATTCCAGACGCGTCCATAGGACAAGCACTCGCTGCTTCGAATACTGCTGCCGAAGGCCTAACTCGAAAATTAGAAGACAGTGATGGGAATGCTCGCGATAAAGCGGCCGCATATGATGACGTTCTTATAGCAGCACAAGACGTCGTCGATGCTGTCAGGAGAGCCATCGAAGAGCACGAGAAAGAAGGAGTGTCGGAAAGTGATTCTCGTATGCAAGACCTGCGAGTTACGTTCCTCGCTGTGGAGTATGAGATGATATCTTGGCGTGTGGGGCGGAATCGTGTTCTCATTGGTGAGGACGATGGAGTGAGTATTGGCGGTGCGGTTGTGAGGAAAAGAAAGAAGGGGACGGGCAATGATGGCGAGGAGACCGAGAAAAAAGAGGGTAATGGAAGGATACTGGCTAGATTAAGGGAGAGAGTCGTGTTGTACGATGCCATACTGCAGAGTATTGACTCCGTACTTGAAGTGCCCGGTGCAGTGAGGGATGAATCTTTCGTCAAAGAAATGAATGGGAAAAGAGATTATTTTAGAGCGCTGAAGTGAGTACATCAGCCCTTCCACATCACTTTCGACAATGCTAACAAATCAATATAGATGCCTCAACATATCCCACTCCTACTCCCTCCTCTCCTCCCACCGCAACGCCCTAGCCCTCCTCCTCCGCGCAACCAATTTCTCTTCATCAGCCCTCGAATCCCTCTCCGCCACCTCCTCAAAATCCCCCACCACCAAATCCACCACCCCACCACGCCTCGACATCACCCCCTCCACCCTCCAATCCCTCCACACAACCCTCACGCACCAAACCCTCCACCTCCGCGCTTTAGTAGAACTACACAAACACAACGACAACGCCTCCGCACTCACCGCGAAAAACGCCGCGAGTGCTGCTCCTGTTGTGGAGAGATTAGGTGAGTATGTTACTTTTGATAAGAAAGAGGATGCGCATCTTGTGGATTGGCCGCCGAGGCTGAGGCCGGTGCCTGTTAAGCCGCTGTTTTTGGATGTGGCTTGGAATTATATCGAGTATCCTGGTAGGGCTGGTACGAAGGAGAGCAAATCTTTGCTCCAGAGCAAGGGCGATGCGAAGGCGGGGGCGGAAGTGGGGGGTGAGAAGAAGGGCGAGGAGAAGAAGAAGGGGTGGTTTGGGTTTGGGAGATAGAATCTGTCTCTGTTTTTACGCCTCTAAGTGCTCTGCAACGCTGAGGTTGTGAGATGGGAAGAACGGATCTTTAGAGGAGAATATTACGACTGCTCGTAGCTATGGAGAAGTCTTCACGCTGGAGTGGTTGATGCCAAATCTCACAAATATACGACTGGCATTTTCCTTTTCTCTTCTCTATTCTCCTTTCTTTTTCCCTTTCTACCAACGTACTTCCTTTACTCATTTCTTTTCCCCCATTCTCCATTAAACCCATGTGTTCCCATAGATCAACCGTGGAAGGTAGCTGAAATCGACATCCACTTTCCCATGTCAACCACGCGATCGAAAACCTCAACGGGTTCCAACTCACCAAGCAAACCAGCCTCGAGGTTATCAGTTTGGGCAGTGACTCTTGTAATTTGAGTCCAGAAGCTGGGTGTTTGCTACACACCGGTCTACTTATGGGTTTCTGCTTGGCACAAACTTGAGAAAGGGGAAGTTAGCAGCCAATCAATATTTGAGAAACGGAGATTGAATGTTATTTAATGCATCAAGCGATGGAGAGGGATGTGTTTATAAAATATAGAATCCGGTGAACGTGTGGACACTCAAAGACTAGAATTAGAAAGACGAATACGGAGAAGACTATACTTCTAGAAAAAAAACTAATACCCACATTGTAAGTATTAGGGCTGTGAGTTATTGGATTCCATTTGGACGGGATGTCCGTAATTCCAATGCTATATAGTACCAATCCTCCAAATCCCTCTTCAACAAACAACCCAAACGGCTAGATGGTGTAGTGGTAACACGACAGACGCATAGCTTGGGTAGATAAGATCGAAGCAAAGAGGAGGTATGTCCCGTGGGCATACAAATCGTGTGTGGAATCTGAGACTACCCGACCGAGTTCTGTAGACTTCAGTTCGAACTGAATCTGGCCAATATTTGAACATTTTCTTTTTGCGTCTTTTGCGTCTTTTGCGTCTTTTGAGCGTTTGAAGTTTCTATTTTTCAATTGAGGAAGCTCTGTTGGACGCTGGAGTTCCTGTCAAACATGTTATTAGTCTGTTTATTTTTGTCGAGAATCACGCTTGCTCAGGCCGTATGTCGGACTACACGTGTTCTTCATGGCTGTCAGTCAAGGAATCCCTTTGAGGGCTTAGCAAAGGAAGCACACCAGCTCTAAGTGTGAGTTAGGCGTACGATTGCTCTTATTTCAAGAGAATTGGTGTGATTCTAAATCCCATCGAGCTCTTCTTTTGCTTCTGCCATTTCTTTGCGCGTGCTTGTAGATTCCTGCCATATCATATCAAATCAAATCAAAACCCTGCCATAGAGCTCTGTGGAAATACATTCTTCGCAAGTCTTGCGATATTGCAAACTTCAATCCCGTCGTTAGACTTTCAAGGTCTTAGTTGTCTCAGGTCTTCCTCTATTCGCTCCTTCCCCCAATCCGCTCCTTCTCACTCTCAAACACTCCCAACCATCAGCCTTTGGCTTGCATACTATATCGTCGTTCCTTCCAATTCCATCTCAACAACATTAAGGCTGGATAGTGTAGTGGGTAGCACGTCAGATCTAAAGAGCGGATGATTCCTGAAGCGGTAATGCCCGACGGGGCCCGTGATGTAGTGCATTAGCTTGCGGTATGTATCTGGAGTCCTCAGTTCGAATCTGAGTCTGGCCAGTCTCATTTTTTGCTTTCCTGTGTTTTTTGTTTTGTCGTAGATGGTTACGTAGAGATAGAAAGTAATTGGATGGTCCGCTTTGAGCTCGTTGCTTAAGATTTGATCATGTACTATTGTCGTTGGTTTGATCTCGAAATCGCTCATTTCAAATGCGGATCGTGACCCATCTATGGTTTTGTCAATTACTTCCTTCGAGGTCTGCTTGATTTGGTCCTACCTCAGCTAAACAACAAAGTTCTCTCCGGGAACCCGTCCCGGCCCGCCATGCGCCTTCCCTTTTTCAAATTTTACCACTCGCACTCCGATTGCTAAGGTATAATAGCCGCCCCCCTCAATCCTGTCTCAACAACATCCCGGCTAGATAGTGTAGTGGTAACACGCCAGATCTCAAGCAAAAGACACAAAAGGTGAAGCGGTAAGGTCCAAGAGGCCGCCCGACGGGGCCCGTGAAGTACCGTGTCAAAGCTAGTTTGCCAAGAGCCAACGAAATTTCTGGAACCCTCAGCTCGAATCTGAGTCTGCCCAATTTTTTTGGGGTATTTGCTATGATTTTTGGGATGTTGTAGACCATTGCCTGGAGTAGGGATGTTAGCCTCTTGTTGCTTAGAATCTAATGATATACCCAATTATTGTTGAAAGAATGTTCGCTTACCGCTTCTGCGATACGTACCTACGCAGATGCGTTCACAGCATTATCGTGTTTACAAAGGTATTGACTTCTCTTGTCCGATGAGGCTTAGCAACAAGATATTCGTCGGTATCTCTTTTCGATCCCACTCAAACCCCTCGCTCCTTTCCTTTTTGGATCTCACCATTCACACTTGAATTGCTCTAGTATAAGTACCACACTCCCCAATTCCATCTCAACAACATCCAGGCTAGATAGTGTAGCGGTAGCACGCCAGGTTTTAAAGCTAAGGCAAAGCTGAAGCGGTAAGGTCCAAAGAGGCCGCAAGGTCTCAAGAGGCTGCCCGACGGGGGCCGTGAAGAAGCGCCGGCGTCTCGACCGACGGGTCGGGAAAAATCTGGAGTCCACAGTTCGAGTCTGAGTCTAGCCAATCCAATTTCTTTTGTTTTTTGAAAATTGTATGCCTTTTTTATCCTAGCTTCCTACCCTTCCTTTTCAAGCCCTTGCTCATGATTTATCCAGGTTAGAGTGATTCAAAGTAGTCAGATACATATTTTTCCTCTACCGCTCTTTTGCATCTATTCATGCTCTCATCTTATACCAAATTGCGCCCAGAAACAGCAGTACCAGGAAAATAAGCGCTTGAAACGGTTCAAAAACAACACTTCTTGCAACAACGATTGCACAAACTACACAGAATGTAGCGCTAAACAGAACACTGGGTTTATAGGGTCGTTTTATTGCGGCATCTCTGTATCGGAGAATGATGACGGCCAGTACGGGAAGAAAGAAGAACGTCATGTCCACAAGGCCCATGAACGTTACTAGTGTGCGGAAATTGCCTACGATAACGAAAATGGTGGCGACTAGAGAGCCAGACGTCAATGCGATCCTGGAAAGATGTCAGTGCATGATACAGAAGAAGGGAATAGCAAGGGTAAGAATTTACCATCGATGTGAATCCTTAGTTGCAGGCTTGGGAGAATTCGAATGACATTCCTGGGCTAAACAATTGCCTGCAAATCTTTCGGAGAAGCTCCCGCTATTCTTTGCCTGTCGGAAAGGCTTTCCACAGACATTGATGCAAGGCTGAAGCAATCGGGCCACCAATCCGTTCTCCGCATAAAACCAAGCAGGAACATAACCCCGTCCAGCTGCTGCGACAGACATGCGCCCGTAAGTAATGATGTTGCCATTCAGTGCACCAGCACAAGAAGCAGCGATTAGAAATCCAATGATGATGCTAGCGGCTTTTCCGAATGTAAATCGCATAGCAACCTTGGAAAGAAGAGATTAATGACTAGATCGGTAAAAGACATAATACAATAACAGAAGGACTTACAACAGCAACGGCATCACTCGAACTAACGACTTCCCAAGGAAGTAAGATATAATAAGAAATGTTAGCAACTTGGAAACAAGTAATGACTGTGAACATTGCAGCATTAATGGAGATGGGTAGTGAACGACCGGGGTCTTTCATCTCTGCTGCAAGGAAGTTTGCCTATGGTTGTAGTCAGAAATTGGGTTTGTCAAACATATGTAAGTACCAACATTATCCCAGCCGCTATATGCGAAGAGGCTTCCGTATAGCGCGGCAGAGAGGTGACCTAGCAGGCTCCATGTGTTGATGGAACTCCAATCCGTGTCTCCAGGTCTGGTCTTAAACCAATTTCTTGAATACCAATCTGTAGTCCTGCCATATTTTCCTCCCTCATCATACCAAAATACGTGATAAAATATCATACTCAATCCAGATAACATAATAACAGCAACAGTGAAGAATTTGAATAAAGCAAATACCTCAGACATTCTCTTAACAAACCTTGTGCTCGTACAATTTAGTAATGTGAAAAGCCACAGCACTCCAATTGCTGCAGGTTTTTCCCACACCAGATTACCTTCTCCAGTGTGTTTAAATCCAGACACCAAACTCTCCACACAGAGAATAGCTAGAATAGCACTGGCAGTAGGCTTCACGAGTAGAATCCAACTCAACGCCATCAGTCCGGCCGTCAGGTCGCCGTAGCAAAATCGGAGATACTCAACCATACCTCCGCTCGATGGAAGCATTGCGCCAAGCTCCGCGAAGGCAGTTGCGCCCGTCCATGCTAGTAAACCTCCGGCGAGCCATATCAGAAGAGCCACCGCTGGGGATGGTGTATTGACGTCGACTTGAGAGGGTGAAGTGAAGATTCCAGATCCAATTTGTATGGATACGAGCAGAAAAAAGGAGTCACGCGTTGAAAAGTGTTTCACGGGTGGTGCAGCTGAGTGGGATGGAAGAAGAGGCGTGTCTTCGGCCGCGGTGCTATCATTATTGTTCGAAGGGTCATGACTTTCGATTGACCCTGCAGATGCAGTCATGATGGGAAGAAGAGTTGTTGTTGTGGATGGTCTGTGAGGCCAAGATGAGATTGATAAGATTTGGCCGAACTCGGAAGAGCACGGGTCTTTTGGACCGATTAGGTAGTAGGCCCATTTCCATGGACCATACAAACAGCTGTTGAGACTTGATATCTAATCCTTAGTCTAAGACATCAGATCTTCATTGAGGTACATACATAAGATAATTTGATCAGATTGCTTTCATAATTTAGGCTAGATAGTGTAGTGGTAACACGACAGGCATAAAGTAGGTCCTACTGTGCTTTAGAGAGCGCTTTATGTGCTTTAGAGAGCGCCGTGCTTTAGAGAGCGCCGTGCTTTAGAGAGCGCCGTGCTTTAGAGAGCGCCGTGCTTTAGAGAGCGCGAGGTACCACTATGTGATCTGTAGACCTCAGTTCGATCCTGAGTCTGGCCAATTGTCATTCTTTTGTTGACCTTTGAATTCTTTTTAATTCCACTGTAACCAGCAGCTCAGGGTGTGTAAGTACGTATGTCAATGAAAAGTAGAGAGTGGGACAGCATCATAGATATCGTTTTTGTAAAAGACTTTGAGATTTTGAACGACAGAATAGCAAGCGTGCAAATGATCATGTATCCTAGCATAAATTCGTCCATTCAAAGTAAGCAGCAGGGAGTCCACGCGCGCGCTATCAAATCAAGGATTTTCCTCAGATCAAACAATCTACCATGTCTTTGGCCCAAAGGTTTGTCCTTTTGGAACCTTTGCCTGGATAGCAGTCTGCAGTTGATCCATCGTTGTTGGTACAATATCATTGCCCCTAAAGTATGATTAGCTAATGACAACAAACACAAGTGGAGAATGCAAACTTACCACCACTTAGGTGCATCAATTTGGTTCAACGTGAATATGAAGAAGATGACTAGTGTGCTAATAGCGAGACCAGTATCCAACCCACTCGCTGTGAGATAGTTGAGTCTACTCCACCACTTGAAGTAGCGTCCGCGAATGACTTTTTGAAATGCGAATCCAACAATACCCCACGCTGAAACACATGTTAGCACCAAGTATACGTAGTGGTGGTACAAAACTTACTCAAATAATTCAGCGGCGTAGCAGGAGGAATACTTCCACCTCCTCCCAAGATAATAGGCGCCATAGCATACTTGAAGATACTCCTCTTCGGGAACTTCTTGCTCAAGTAGTAAAACACCACAGGCATAAGCGCACCAATTGGGAACATGATCAACAAGATGCCATACACCTGCCCAGGAGAAAATATGCGCTGTGGTCCCAACAAACCCCAGATCACCGATGCGGAGAAGAATACCTTGGCACCTGGGCAGGTAAAATGTTGCTTTTGCTTGATGGTGCAGACATCTTCGATGTTCTTGAGTGCGAAGTTAAGAACGAAGACTTGGATGAAGCAGGAGAGGGTTGTGGCGACGACTTGGGCTGTGAACATGGTTCGTGGTGGGATTTTCATGTAATGGCCGCTGTTCAAAGCATTAGCGCGGCAAGATTGGCGGTTAAGAGTGCATCGACATACAATTTTAGGTCTCCGATAAATCCTAGAGCTTGAGATGCGGTGATGTATCCATATGTTTTGAACATCATCAACGCCAGTGGTTTGCCAGGCTGCATATAACCCATCAAGAATTCGGTAATGACATTTAGTCCAATCTGCTGATTCGTAATCGCCTGGACAATCCCAATGGGCAGCGTCATGACAGTCGAAAATATAATGGAGATGATGAACGCCCACCATGCAAACTCGGTTGGCCATGCAAGCACAACGACGAATGACAGTGCAACCATGAGCACGAATAGGGCAGCGTACCACCAAGTAGGGACTTCGGGGTACTTTGCCATAAGTTTCATGTGAATGTCCTTTTCCTGACCACGCGAGTTCCTAAATTGGCTCCAGATTTGTTGTCGGTAGTGAATCCAGGTATACACGACAAGGGATGCGATCGTAGCGAATGACAGACCGTAGGAGATAGCAAAGGTAGTCGACATGAACA